TTTTTCCTGAAGACTCTTCTAGCTTGTATTCTTCTTCCAACTTTCCAAGCTCATCCATTATAGTTTCATCCTCTTCGGTGAAATCATCAGGCTCATATCCAACATCAAAATTCTCATATCTTTTCTCATCCCCTAAGTCCATATCCTCTTCTGTTAAAACTGCATTTTCATCTACATCGCTCTTCAGTGTCTCAAACTCCAAAGTGTTTCCAAAATTTATGTCTGACAAAAACCCCAACCCAAAATCAAAACAATAGCACAAAATCCCAACCCAAGATCAAAACAGAAACCCAAGACTTCCCAATTTCAGAAACCTAATTTCATATAACCCAGAACGCTTTCCCTTTCCGCTCCGCAACCAGACCACCATAAAAGAACCCAGAACGACGTCACTGTGATTCGCGAGTTCATCCTCCTCAATTGACAGAACCAGAAAGCAAATCACGCCTCCTTGATTCAATCTTCTCCACCCCAACCTGCAAACAGAATCACAAAAACAATGTTCGCTCCATCATTCATCTTATTCACCAGGAACCTGAAAGCGTAGAAACCAAACTCAAAAATCGCAAATCCTTTTCATGGTACCTACCTCCATTGACGCAGACGAGTTCTTTTCTTCCTCGCAAGCACAACCATGAGCTTCAATCGCGAACTCCTTAAGCTGCCATCCATGGCCACGCCTCCATCCTCTCCATAGCGGCGTAGGAGTAAGAAGGCAAAATGTTCTTCCCCTTTCCCCATCTGTAGAACCTTAATTTTAGAACCAGGAGGAATTTGTGGAAACGAATAAGAGTTCTTGCAAAGATGACGAAGATGGAACCCTTGTGGAGGCAGCGTCGCTACAGCCCTCACGGTGTTGTGTCGTCGCCGTTCTTTCATCGTGCCCTTGTCGCACCCTAGTCGCGTCCTCCCAGTTTGTCTGCAAGAAAGGAAGAAGAAAGAAGTGATTTTATGCCTCAGGTCACCTCTCGCGCGAGAAAGAAAGAAGAAAGTAGTAAGAAGGGGGGAAGAAGACAGGTGCCCCAGGTCACCTCTCTCACACAGTGAGAAAGCAGTGAGAAAGGGGGAAGAAGTGAGAAAGCAGTGAGAAAGAAAGAACCTCTTGCGCGAGACGCGAGACAAAGAAAGGGGGAAGACTTGGGGAACTTCAATACGCAAGCTTTTATGCCTCTAGCACCTCTCAACCGAGGCACTAAGTCACTTTTATGCCTCAGGTAACCTCTCAGCCGAGGCATTAAGTCTCTTCCAGATTTGAAAAGTCTGACTTGCAGAAAAGTAGGTGAATTTTGCAGGTTATTATGCCTCGGTTTCTCTTATAATCGAGGCAATAGACCCTTTCTACTTCGGTTTCTAAAGAACCAAGACATATAACTTTGCTATTATTACAAAAATGCCACCGTGTTTTTATATGCTTTGGTTTTTATAAAACCGAAGCATATATGGCACGTTAAAATACTAGTTTTTTACTAGTGCATTCTCTCCCTTAAGCTATATGTAGTTGTTACATTTAGCTTACTTCACTTATGTCCCAACTCCAAGCATTTGACGTAGACTCTCAAATTGTTCAAACTTCAATGTTTTGGTCATTATATCAGCCAATTGTTCTTCAGAGTAATAATAACTAAGACAAACAACTTGGTCTTTAACCAAATCTCTAAGGAAATGAAATCTTACTACAATGTGTTTGCTCCTTCCATGAAAGATGAGATTCTTGGACAACTGAATAGTATAGCTGTTATCATATAGGATTCTTGTTGCACCTTCTTCTTTTAAACCGAGATGTTCTGAAATTTTGCAAAGCCAAATACATTGACATGCACAAAATGCTATTACAATGTACTTAGCTTCAGTTGTAGATAGGCTCACCATAGGTTGTTTCTTTGAGGCCCAAGAGACAACAGCCATACCTATTAAAAAACTGAACCAGAAGTACTTCTTCTATCATCTAAGTCACCTGCATAATTACTGTCACTATAGGAAATAAGACCAGTTCTTCCACTCTATTGATAAAACATTCCATACTCAATTGTGCCTTTAAGATATCTTAGGATCCATTTTACCATAGCCCAATGTGATTCCTTTGAATTTGCCATGTACCTGCTGATTAAACTTACCCAATACATCAAATCAAGTGGAGTGATTGTGAGATACATAAGACTACCAATTGCTTGCTTAAACTTTGTAGCAACGATTGTGACCCATTCCTTATATCTAGACAGTGTTATTCCTGATACAATAGGATTTCTTACTAGATTGTTATCTGTCATGTTGAACCGAGCCAATATCTCCCATAAATATCTTCTTTGACAAATGAAAATTCCTACCTTGCTTTGTATGACTTCTATTCCAAGAAAATATTTCATTTTGCCCAGATCATTCATATCAATTCTAGCTTCATTGAACTTTTAAAACTCTTCACACATGTTTACTATTCTAGTAAAGAGCGAATCATCAACATAAAGACTGATTATTAAAATATTACCCTGAACTTGTTTGGTGAACAAGGTGTGTTCACTAGAACATCGATTAAACTAATATAATAAATGAAAAATAAAATCCAAATACCTTAATGGTTAAAAAATAACAACAAAATAACACAACCATGAGAAGTAAAAAAGTGGCATGTTGTTACTATCACAGACTATAACAAACAAAAGGGTTGGTGTTATTATAGAGAAAAAGTTAAATAAAGGTAGTGGCCACGTCCAAAGAAGAAAATGAAAATGCACCGCGTAAGAGTTGTCACGTCAAGAAAGAGAGTGCTAAATGGCATGACTACATGATGTGGAAGTACCATTGGTGGTATGGAACTTTCCTCTGATTTTCTCTGAAACATTCTTCCTCTCATAATTCAATTTTCTACTTGACCTCTCTTTTCTTACCTCTCCGTGTCTTGTTTAACACTTATAGGAATAGAATGCTTGATGAGTTGATGTTCTCTTCAAGTTTAACAGAATATAATTCTATGCATTGAGTTGTTTAAATTATATAATTCTAATTATGTGTTAAATAAATTTTAGAAGTGTTATTATTTTGTTTTCATCTTACATTATAGTGGGTGATTATGAATTTTGAGTTTAATCCATTACTTGGTTGCTTTCATTGAATCCATGTGGAGAAATACTAGATTAGAATGAAGGAGATGCAAGCCAGAAGATTTGTACAAATGATGAGGATATTCGTGTTGGCCACCATAGTAGACCCAAACTACACAAAAAATGATGGAAGTTAAGAAACAAGTTAAAAAGAAACCAGGATGGAAGAGATCAAAGTAGTGTTACAACAACTGTTACTTAATTTCGCTAACATTTAGGGAAGAACTCAAGCTCTACAATGAAAGTATCTACCATCACAATGATTTCTCTAAGTAGTTATATTTCCTTGGGGTTTCCTCATTTTGATGGTTCTTTGTCAATGTTAGAGTGGATTTTTAAGATAGATAATTTTTTTAACTATCACAACACATCAGATGCAGAATGAGTGGAAATTGCATCGATGTAGTTTGAGAAGGAAGTGTGTTAGCAAAATCATGAAGTATAGAATTTTTTATCATGCCCAAATCAAGTCTCAAGTTCTTACTTTGCTATAAGACCTTCATGAAGACTTGTTTTATGTGTTAAAGCTTTTGTAATGAGTAGTTTTATATATAGGGCTTTATATGTTGTTGATTCCTTGTAATTTAGGATTTATATATATGAATTTATAATCGATTAACTACTTAAGATAATCAATTATCATAAAAATGTTTTTAAAGGTCACTAAAAACTCAATTTTGGCTATAGAATAATTGATTACAAAACTATGATAATCGATTATTTATAATCAATTATCACGACTAGTCGTTGGAGTTTTTAGGCATGTTTTTGGCTATGTCATTCATAAATGGCATAATCAATCACACATAAGTGGATAATGATTATCACGCGAGGACAAAGCTGACAACGGATTTTTAGAGGTGTCCTTGAGTGAAGGTCTTTATAAAGGTGTTTTTAGACTTCATATAGCAACGAAAAACATATTTGTTTGTTTAACTTGTGAAAGTGTGATCTAGGTTTGTTTAACCCTTGTGCTTTGGACTTGAGAACTTTGTGTTATCAAGAGTGAGAACTTTCACTAGGAGTGTGATTGAGTGTTTCTATTGTTGCTGAGTGAAACATATCATCCTTTGTGAAGATTCAAAGGAAGTGTTCATCCTTCATGAAGCATTTGAAGGAGGAGTTCATCCATTGTGACCTTTAGGAGAGGTCAGTTTCATCTTTTGTGATAACAATAAAGGTGTTTTATAAACCTTAAACTTGTCTTTTCTATGTGATTATAATAGTTTATTGGTTTTGTGATAGTGGAACGTTAATCTCTATTTGGGATTAGAAACTGGATGTAGGATCCCTGTGATCTAAACCAATATAAAATTATTTATGCAATTTTTTCTCTCCCTTACACTCTATTATTGTTTTAATTACTTGCTAAGGAAATTAAAATTAAGAGAAATATATAAAGGCACACATTGTGATTAAACAACCAGTTGTACCCCCTCTGGTTTATTGTCACGCTAAACATTCCGCTGCACCACCCTTACAATTGGTATCAGAGCTTGCTTTGATTGTAATTCAAATGGCAGGGAATCATCAAACATTTGTTGAGGGTGCCTCTATCAACAGGCCTCCTTTGTTTACTGGTGAAAATTATGCTTTCTGGAAAGTCAAAATGCAAATTTTTATGGAATTTGTTGATACTGAGATTTGGGAAACTGTCACCAAATGGTTCCTTTTGTTCCTAGTGTATTTATTAAGAACTTTTAGGAACAAAAACCCAGTGACCAATGGATAATGGTAATGATAGAAGAGAACTCAACATGATGTGTAAAACGATCGAAATATTATATTATTGCTTAACTGGTGATGAGCCTTAACAGCGGTCCAACTTGTAAGAATGCACAGCGATTGTCGCAGATGCTTAAGGGTCACTCACAATTGTACGAATGGATGTAAGACGAGCAAGAAGGAATACCTTGACCCAGAAATATGAGATGTTTGAATGCAAGCAAGGGAGAAATAATCATTGGGTGTCAAAAGCGTTTCACCAATTGGAACATCTCTGTGAGATTGTTGATAGGGGGAGCAAAGGTTCAGCTTAACCCACAATCTCAGTGATATTTGTGTTTTTGATGTTGACAACACAATTAATAATAACACATGTGTGTTCTTGAGTTACATGTTCTAATTTACATGATATATGCTTTGATCAATGTGTTAAATATGTTTAAGCATATATGAGAGCATGCTTGTGTTGGTCATTGCATATCATTGTGTTACATATGTGTTTTTATATGTGAATGCATGACATACAATGTTGAAAGGGAAAACCACAAGCACTTATGTTGAACTTTAAATGTGTGGCAAAATAACAGTTTTAAGATGATTTCATTATGGGATGAATCAATTAAAACTCGTGTCTTTCCACAAACTATTTTCAAGTGTGCTGTGTGATTTTTTCAAGGAGAAAGATTTTCAAAACTATGCTTAACATTTTTACTTAATCGATTGCATGCGTGTTGTATTTGATTAAGTCTGTTATTATTTTGAAATTTTGTTAATGCTTGACATAAATGTCTAACGGTCATATTTTTAATTGTGTTGACCAAGCATAAATGATAGTCCATTGCATTAATTGCGCATTAAATTAATTGTCGTGATTGTTGCTAATTGTTATAACAAAATTGTTGTATTCGAATGCATTAGTAACTAAGTCGATTAAATTGCGTCTAAGATGTGTTATTCTATAAATTGACACAAATTTGATTTTTGTAAGAACTTTTGTGATTCCAACATTTTCATATCGTTTACATAAAGTTGTGATCTTGCAGAAAGAAAATAAAAGCTCCAAGAAACAAGAGTGACCATGGTGATCAACTACTGTGATTTCTTGAAGAGCAAGACTGTTGTGTTTTCAAAAGGCTGATCAACTTGCACATTGGGTGTCATTGAGAGATAGATTCTGTAATCTTTTGAAGATTGGTTTGAGGTTCCCTGTTGTGATTACAGGAAGAAGAGTGTGTGGCGTTCTTGACTTTGAGAGTGTCTCAAAGGGTTTAGATAGTAGGAGAGGGGATTCTTGCTGCTGGTCTTCTTGTTTACTGCCTATATTTTGATTAGAGGGTTAGAGAGATGTTTTATATTTTTGACGTGTGGTCGCTATAAAAGCCTTGTTGTAAAATCCTCGATCATTATAATGCATTGGCTTCCTATGGTTGGG